CTCCGCAGGAGGGGAATTGTCTCTATGGGACCTGCTCTGCAGGAAGGCTGGGTGTTTCCCAGCCGCTCTCCTGGTGATGGGGCCTCAGCTGCTGGTCCCACACCAGAAGCAAAGCTGACCATATGTGGGGCGGCTGCCACAGGCAGCACAGACACCAGCACCTGATTGTCCAAGAGAGCATGGGCAGGATTTTGCCCCTAATTTGTTCCCTGAGCACCCCAGTGACAGGCACAGATGGAGCCCTGGGTGCCCTGATCCACACCGGCACACACCACTGCAGTGCCTGTGCCATGCGGGTGCCAGCTCAAAAAGCCCCCAACAAACCCTTTTTAAGAGCAAGTCTATGTGAAAAAACAGAGGGACAGGGAACAGAAAGCCACCCTGCTGTGAGGTGGGTGTCTGTGAGGTTACACAGTGCCCCCAGACTGACTCCTTGGGTCCCTCAGCAGCCCTCGGCAGGCATCTTCCCGTTTCAAGACAAGGTTTGCAAACCGCACCCAGGGCCACCAGCCAGCACAGAGCCACTTCCACAAGGTACCTGTGTGCAAAGAAGGATGATAAGAGCGTCACCGTCATGCTCAGGTCACTGATGGCCAGGTTGACAATGAAGAACTCGGCAGGCTTCAGCATGGACCTCTTCTGATAGGCCACCAGCAGGAGCAGTGAGTTCCCAGAGAGGGAAACGATGCCTGCAGAGAAGGCAGAGGAACGGTGCTCTATGTAACAGAGCTGGGAAAGGAGCCAGGATCGTTTTGAGATGTTTGGAAGCGAACACCGGAGATGTCTACAGAGGACAGAAAGGACTCCAAGCTTCCCTTTCCAGAGCGGGCTGAGCAGGGGAGCCCACGGGACCTGCAGAGCTCTGTAAGCACATCTGGAGCTGCTTTACATTGAATTTGATCCCTTCCCCTTCCTGAGGTCCTACAGAGGCGTTTGGCAGGAGGGATGAGACTACACTGGGCTCCGGGTGCAGGATCTGGCCAGAGTCACTTCTTCCAGCTGGAAGGAGCAAGGCAGGCACTTCCTTCCAGCTAGATAAATAACGGGAGCTGTGTGCGATTGCTTTTCTGATGTGAGGCCAAGGACTTGGGCCCCTTCGCCTTTTTTAATTCTTCCTGGCAACGTCACTCCTGTGAGTCTACATCGTCCAATATCATGGTAACAAACTAAACAAGAAGAAAGGCATTATGGAGATCAAGGAAAATCCAGACTAAATAAAAGAAGGCTCTTTGTTTGCTATTAGTGTATTTAAAACAACAGTGGTGATTAAAATTTTATAACAAGGGCTTTCTCTCTTTTTCTTATTACGTAATTGTTCTTTCATTGAAAAGAGGTTTCAGTGTCCTCAGAAGGGGAATCTTTGCTGCTCTTGGGGCAGGCTGGGTAGGATGAGAGTTTCTCCCTTATGGATTAGGCTGTAAATTAAATATCATGGTAAGAACCAGCTTCCAAAGCCACTGAATAGCCAATACTGAAGTTCCTCTCAGGAATAGGATTCTCATGAAGGACCCAGCCAAATCCAGGGCTTTGAAGGTTTTAGAGTTGCTGGAGGGTAAAGTACTGAAATGTGTGTCCTTATTCCCAGCCTCACAAGGCATTTTTCCCACAGAGCTAGTCTCACATCTGGACCAAGTACATTTTACTAGCTTTACTAACTCCTAGGAGCTGTAAGTGCCTATAGGACTGCTGGCAGTCCCAGTGGCGTGTGCCCTGCCATGTGTGCAAGCATCCTTCGGGTGCCCCATGCTCACAGGCATGAAAAACTCTTCTGGCACTGAGGAGACAATTTGCTTGTGGCTCAGAAAACTGGAAGGCTTTTCTCTGCCCACCATTCACTTCTGTCCCACACCACCTCAGAGCATGTCTCAGCCCATCAATTTTGCCCACTGGCTTTCTGGTGCCACTAACTCCAAATTACAGGACATTCACCAGCATCTTCTGCTGAAAGCAAGAGCCAGCTGGAGGTCCAAATCACCTTCAATAGTCATGAAGCTGACAATGCCAACAGAGAGTCCCTATCGGTCTCACACTGGGTGGCTGCAGTAGGAGTTACAGCGTGTTCCTCAAAGGTTGTTCTTCAACTTTCCAAATATTTAAAAACATAACTGGTACTTGCAGTTCCTGAGAGGGGAATGCAGTCACCAAGCTTGGGCCAGATCATCCTTTTGAGTAATGTGGGAAGGGTCAGTGTGATTATTCTGCTAACGACTGAACGCTTCTGGAAGCATCAGTGACTGCAAAGGACCTGAGTGTCTCTGGCAGGCAGACAGGCACCTGGGCTGCCCGCAGCAGGGACAGAGGTATAACAGGTTGTCTTTCCTTACCAAAGACTAAATAGAGCGTGCCAAAAATCAGGTCTTCTCTCTCCGATAAGGTGGAGATGAACACCGAGGCGTTGGACGCATTTCCCATCTGCAAACCAAGATACAAATACAAGTGAGATTTTGGCTAACGAAGGAGTGCTTGGCTTCTTCAGTTCCCAGGGAGGACAGCTCTGTGACGCGCTCCTGGCACCGTGCTACAACCAAGGCAGCAGCGTGAAGCCCCCCGGCCCCGCCACTGCAGGAGGTGGCTTCAGGAGCGCTGCATGCAGCACTGACCTAACGGCTGGGCAGGCGGCCGGTAACAGGATCAGGCTGGTAATCTCTCTTGATTACCATTCCTTCAATTACAGCTTTTACTGATTAGCATTAGCCTTTGGATCTAAATTTTCTCTGCAAGTCTGGGCCATATGCTGACTGCAGCATGCGCTGCGCATTTAGACATGGAGACACCGGCAGCTTGGAGCTGGAGGCTTTGTGTTCTGCAAAATCCCCCCCTCCTCCTCCCCCCCCTCCCCCTGCCTCCGCCTGTCCCTGTGTCCACATCAGCAGGAGACTTGGCCCAAACTGCCCTTGCGACACAGCCAAGACCTGCTCATGTGCCATCCCGGCAGCACATTAATTGCCTCTACTGCAAGATGTGCACTGCATGTGCTGAGAAGGGCCTGTGCAGACATGGGGACAGCTACAGGCTGTCCATCAAATCCTAGCCCAGGAGACCCCACAGCTGGAGACAGAAAGGAATTGCCATCCCGATCATCACTGCTCCTGGCTGGAACCCTCCTTCTTCAGCTGTAACTAAACCTCATCTGTGCTGCCAGCGGTGCAGGTGGTGAGGAACTTGGGGGTGAACACATGTATTAATAAAAAAAAATAAAATAGTAAAAAGTCATTCCCTTTCTCAGGGTGCCTGACTCAATCATCGAGTTTTATCGGTCTAATTAGTTTCCCTGTTATTTTGTGCAGCTGAGCCGAAGGTTCCCAAAGTGCTTAGGAAGTTAATAGGGGGTAGTAGAGCAGAACAGCAGACGCGTTTCAGTATATTCACTCCCTTCACTGATAACAAATAAATGGAAAAATATTTTGTTCAGGTGAAGAAAAAAAAAGAGAGAGGGGGTGAGAGAAAATAATGGTTTAATTATATGTTTCGATAGCTGTTAGCTTGCTCGCTGGGATGTTTAATGCACGCAGTTTTCCTGCCTCCTTCCCTAAGGTGCCTACCTGCACGCTGCGGGAGAACCGCAAACAGTGCCCTGCCAGGGAGTAGGGGCTGGGGAGGGGGAGGCTGCCAGGGCCAGCCTGGGCATGGTTTAACCCTGACAAGTGACAACAGCCTGCTTATTCCTGCCCCATGGCCTAGTCTTCATACGGCCACGCTGCGAGCCGGAACAGGGAGCAGATTTGGCCTTATGGGGAGGAGGTAAATAAAGATCATACCCCCAGCATGGATCCCTGACCACTAACTGCCCTGTATCCAGCCAGCCATGAGACGGCTTGGGAGCTATGGAACGGGCCCTGGGAGACGGAACCTTTCTCTCCATGAGTACTGCTGCCATGGACTTCATGAACAGCAACTGCCCTTGTTGTTGGTACCGAGGTGAAAACGCCAGCCTCACATCCAAGGCTGCGTTCAGACAGATGGAGCTAATCACTTGAAGTAACACCTAAATTAGCTTGGAGTGTAAATGTATTTTAAGACACTAATTGGTGTTAAACTGCCGAGAGATCCTGCCAATAGTTCTTCATTCTCTGTGTTATTGGCCCATACAGGCAAACACGGATGGATCACGGCTTCTCTGGCTTACTTCACGGCTTTCTTGGGTTAGGTGGCCACACAACCTATGGTGTGTTTACAGCTCATATAGTCTCACTTGCTCCTCCTCAGTAAGCCTATCTTGAGCATCTGATGTTAAGCTATCAAATGTTTTTATTCCCTTGGACTGGTGCCCACATACCATGAGTACGACGGAGTTGCCTCTGCAGGCCAGGCAGGATGCTGGTTAATTTAGTTAATGGAAGCCACAATGGTCATCCATGGTTCTCAGTTCACTCTGTTAACTTTTGACCTCTTTGGATGGTTCCTGCTCCCCTTATGAACAGAGATGGTGGAAGCACAAGAACTGGTTTGCGCAAAACAGTCCCAGCAAGTGTGTGCTGCCCAGAAAGAGGCGTTACGCGCTGAAGGAGCAACAGCAAGCCAGGTTTTGGCTTGCTCGCTCTAACAGACATGGCCAAAGCCCTTGTGCTGCTGGCAGACTCCCACTTCTTTGCCCAGGTTACTCATTTGACAGCTTGATGCAAATGTGATTTTAAATTAAGCTCCATTTACATCATCCTGCTAAACTGACAGAGGCTCTCAGGAAGCTGTGCAGCATACTTGCCTCCGTCTCCAACTCATTTATCGGCTTTTGGCGATGAGAAAGAGGTGCCGTACTGCTTTGAAATGCCCCATCCTCCTGTCTGGGTCCGGAAAGTCTGGTCTGTGGCACTGCATGGACACCATGAAGGCCAACGCAGACAGCCAGGAGGTCTATAACCACTCCTGTTTGGGTTTTCTAGTATAACCTTTCACTTCAGAGAAATGGCCACCACACCTGGGATCTTTCCAATCTTTTGTTGTGCAAAACAAGGCACATTTAACAACAGCACGTGCTTTACAAAGAAACTAAACCCTGGCTATTATCTGCTGTTTTGGAAGAGGCTGCTGGCCCTTAGGGCTTGATATGCAAGCACTTAGGGGAAAAAGCACCAAGCAGTGTGATTGCCCAGGCAGGCTGACAGGCACACAGCTAATTTCTACTTGAACATATCAAATGTCCCCTGTCTTGTTACCAGTATGTACAAGTAACTTCTCATACATCATTACTTGTGTTTATGTACATGCAGTTTTGATGTTCAGTCTTAAAAATTCAATCTCTTAATAATTGCCTGGTAAAATACATAAGGAAAATATTAACATTTGCATTCTAGAGGCTTCCTACTTTGAACAATATAGTACTGCTGTCAGAGCAGCAACCTGACTTAGAGGACTCCTTGCCAGCCCAGCACACGCTTTGCAGGTGCACACTTCCCTGACCTGCTTTTCCTTATGCTCTCCTGGCTGGTGGACATCACTCTCTCAGTTCTCCTTTGACAAATGGGTAGCCTTGGACCTCCCTAACACATTTGAATGTCCTCATTTGCATTATACAGTTCAGCTGCATCAATTTGTTTTTCTTAGCAAACATGATTCTCAAGGTGCTTGCTTTACACGCCTCCTACCCTCTCCCTATTCATCTTATCTGGTCTCAGTGCAGAGGACCAAGTGCTGTCATCGTGGCCCCACAGCAGGAGATGCTGCTCATGGGAAGGTTATGAGAAGTCACTAACATCCATCCACTCGCTTGGGCTTTCTAGCTGCTCTGGGTAGAGTGGGAACTCCTTGGCCATCTCTGTAAATGTCTACACAACATAATTACCAGGGCACGCAAGGTTGGAGTCTGAGCAGCAACAAGCCAAGATCCACTCTGAGCTCTGCTTAGAGGGAAAGGAGTTTAGGCAGAAAATTATCCCAGCTAACACTAACTTGGGAAGCTGCACGCCATTCCTCAGCCTGGGCTGGGTATCCAGGGAAGCAGTTTAACTGCCTGATCTTTCTGCACTTGCACCGCACTAAAGCATCCCAGAGTAACTCAGTTTGCTCAGCTTGTCACCGGCTTGCAGCTTTCACTTACAGGTTTATGTTGAAGGTGACTGTCTCCTCTCTGTGTCCTCAGCACGACTGATGGCACCTGCAGCTCCGGGAAGCTCCAGCTGGGGTTGCCTTTCCTGTTTGCTCCCTGGGAGTTTGGAGAATCGAATCGACAGAAATTCTGAGTGGAGCCCATGAACCCCAGACAGAGGCACCAGCACCGAGGTGAGGCCAGTCAGCTTTAAGCTGTCCCTCCTCACCCCGGTCTGCGCTGGGCTCATCTTTCAGCAGATACTAAAGCAATAACAAAACTGTTGTCACCTGTTCTGGGAGCTGGGTAGCCCCAGGCCCGGCGACCTCGGTGTGCTCCCTCTGCAAGGGCAGCCCGCAGAAACCAGCCCGACTGCTGCGCTCCGGCAAGGCTACGCCCCAGTGCCAGCCAGGCTCTGGGCACCGAGTACACACTGCTTGATTACAGAGAAACTGCAAAATCATTTAGAAGGGGAGCACAGCAGCTCTGGGGGTGGGAGATGATTGTTTTCTCCCTTTACAAGATCAGTCATTTCAATAAAAGGATGCTCCTGGATACCTGGCACTGTCCCTGCGATGGAAGCCCCTTGCAAGCACTCCAAGTGCTTTCACACCCAGGCTTCAAGGTGAATCTCCCCCTTTATTGACTGTCCAGTGGAGATTTAGGTTCTCCCTTGAGATTTTCACTGACAATCCCAACTTGCTGGAAACAAATGCTGGAAATCCCTAGCAAGAAAAATGGAAACGTTTCCCAATCTTTCTTCACCTGCCCTGTGCAAATCTTGTCCCTAGCCTCAAATCCTCACCATACTATGCAGTGACTCATAAAGAATAGCAAAATAAATAGGGCTTGTGTTCAGGTTTTGTTTAAATCCCTGTGAATCATTTTATCTTAGGAAAAAGCAGCAATGGTAAATCTGGGCTTCAGTGGAAGATGGGTAGCCAGCTGCAACACAGACAACTAGGGGATCTAAGGCTTTAACTGAAGGGAGCAGGCAGAAGCGATGGGACACTGCAGAAAAGTCCTCTGATGAGATTTCTCCATCACACGGAAGCAGAAAAGGTTGGAGTCCCACTTCTCCCTTTTTCAAGCTGCCTTCTAAAAGGTTTGTGAGGAAATGGGCTTTCCTCCTCACCAGCACATGCAGGAGCAGGCAGGGCAGGGTGAGAACATCACTCTGATGCATATTCATAATTGTCAGGGTGAAAAAGCTGCTTCAGAGTACTTAATTTCACAGCTAACGAAAATCCAATCTCAATGTGCTTTCTATGATGAACGTCTTTGCAGCCCACCCCTCCCTTCCGTGCGTGCCAAAGCATTTTAATTGATGCTAAGGTTAAATTTATTAGAAAACCACCAAGTTATTAGCCCCACAATAAAAACTGTGGAT